GGAGTGAATCCTCTAATGTAATATAACTATACTTCTTGAAAATATTTATACTGGCAAAGCCAAAATTTGATGTTTCAGGGAATGAATCCTCTATTGTAATATAGCTATACTAGTTGAAAATGTTTATACTGGCAAAGCCAAAATTTGATGCTTCAGGGAATGAATCCTCTAATGTAATATAACTATACTCGTTGACCGCCTTAACATGACTTAAATCAATGCAGACATCTATGAACCACAAGGAATTAAAGTCCCAGACCCTATCCAAACTGTCTGTACGAGATGGGGCATTGATCCTTTGTGCCTGGGCTCTTACTCTAATGTTGCAGTTGGGGCATCAGGAGATGACTATGATATTATGGCAGAAAGTGTTGGAGAAGGGAGGCTTTTCTTTGCTGGCGAAGCCACAAGTAGGCGCTATCCTGCAACTATGCATGGTGCTTTCCTTAGTGGGTTCAGAGAAGCTGCCAACATGGCGAATTGTGCTAGAGCTAGAGTTACAAATGTGAAAGTGGAGAAAAATCCATCAAAGAATGCATATGATTGTGCTTCTATTCTTGCAGATTTATTCAGGGAGCCTGATCTGGAATTTGGTAGCTTTGCTGTAATTTTTGGTAGAAAAGATTTTGATTCAATGGCAATTTTAAGGGTCTCATATAGTGGGCCGAGAAAAAAGCCTGATCAGCAGCATTTTAACCAATTACTTTTTGAGCAGCTTCAGAGTCATTTTAATCAGCAGCAGGAGTTTCATCTCTATACCCTGTTATCTAAACAACAAGCTCTGGAGCTGAGAGAGGTGAGAGGGGGTGATGCGATGAGGCTGAATTACCTTTGTGAGAAGCTTGGAGTGAAGCTCATCGGGAGAAAAGGTTTGGGGCCAGCTGCAGATTCTGTTATTGCTTCAATAAAGGCTGAGAGGAGCAAAGGCAGACCATCAAGTTCTCTGAAACCTGGTGGGTTCTCTTAGTTAACTAACTTATAAGCACATTCATGCAGGTGTTATGCTTATGTTATACTAAAATTCTTTATTTAATTTGTTTGAAATCAATATGTGATAAAATGATATTCATTGTTTTAAAGCAATACCATTTCTGGTCAATACTTCTAAATTTATAATTTT